GCATCTACAAAAATCTTATGTGCATACACACTCAGTCATGTCGAACTCTTTGTGACCCTATGGAACTATAGCCCGCCAGGCTCCTCTGTCCATGGTATTCTCCAGGCAAGAATACTGGAGTGGGTTGCCATTTCCTACTCCAGGGGATATTCCTGATTTAGAGATTGACCCCTCGTCATCAGAGTCTTCTTAATTAGCAGGTGGATTCACCACTGAGCCACCTACAAAAAATTTATAGCAACCATCGTACTTAACAGTGGGAAAAAAAGTTTTCCTCTGTAAGATTGGGAAGAAGACAAGAATATCTGTTCTTACCACTTGCATTCAATATGTGCTAGAGATTCTAGTACGCGCAGTAGAGCAGTAAGAGGAAATTAAAGGCATACAATTTGGAAAAGAAGAAACAAAACTGTCTTTATTCTCAGAGGACATGATGCTACATATAGAGAATACTAAGGAATCTACAAAATTATTAGAACAAATAAGAAAGTAGGAAGGTCACAGGATATGAGCTCAACAAACAAAAAAAGGCAGAGGAACCAGAGTTCAAATTGCCAACATCCGTTGGATCATAGAAAAAGCAAGAAACTTTCTGAAAAACATGGACTTCTTCTTCATTGACTGCGCTAAAACCTTTGTGTGGATCACAAGAGACGGGAAAATTCTTCAAGAGATGGGAATACCAGACCACCCTACCTGCCTCCTGAGAAACCTGTATGCAGGTCGTGAAGCAACAGTTAGAGCTGGACGTGCAGCAACGAACTAACTCAGAATTGAGAAATAGTCAATGCTGAATATTGTCACCCTACTTATTTAACTTCTATGTAGAGTACATCATTCGAAATGCCAGACTAGATGATTCACAAGCTGGAATCAAGATTGCTGGGAGAAATATCAACAACCTCAGATATGCAGATGACACCACTCTAATCGCAGAAAGCGCAGGAGAACCAGAGCCTCTTGATGAAGGTGAAAGAGGAGAGTCAAAAAGCTGGTTTAAAACTCAACACTCCAACTCAACTAAGATCATGGCATCTGGACCTGAGAGAGTAAACTTAGGCAGGTTGATACGGAGTCCAAGCCTAAGGCCCCTTTGAAGAGGGGGTAAACATTCTTTCTTTTTCACATTCTCTTCCTTAGACACGCAGGCCTTGTAGGTAGCAGTATCTCTTGCTCAAGGACATACTTTTTTTTAGCTCAAAGTGAATGCTGTGGGAGAAGGTCTAGGAAAAATTTCCACAGCCTGGAGCTCTGGGTTAATCCATTCCTTCTGGCTAATCTCATGCTGACATCACCCCAGGATATACATTATGGGAAGGGTTTAGGCAAAATTTTCAGAGCCTTGGGATATATTTTTCTATTCTCAGCAGCTAGCAGAAAAGTATATAATGCTCTACTTAAACTAGCAAGGAGGGTAATCTTTCTACTCCCTCCTGATGTCTATGTCAGAAGTCCTATCACTATAGAACACCTGTCATTTGGAGCAACAAATGAATGAACCTGGAGGACAATATGCTAAATGAAATAACCAGACACAGAAAGACAAATACCATATGATCTCCCTTACATGTGAAATATAAAGTAGAACTCATAGAGAGTTAAATGGTTTTGTCACTAGGACTTGGGAGATGGGAGAAATGGGGAGATGTTGGTCAAAGGGTACAAGCTTCCAGGTACATGGTGAGTAAGTTCTGGGGATCTAATGTAGAACATGGGGATTATAGCTAACAATAATGTCCTGAAAGACTTCCATGGTGGGCTAGTGGTTAAGAATCTGCCTGCCAATGCAGGGGGCACAGGTTCAAACCCTGGTCTGGGAAGATCCCACATAATGCAGGGCAACCTAACTCGTGTGCTGCAAATACTAAGTCTGCACACCACAACTATGAGGCCCTGCACCTAGGGCCTGTGCTCCTCAAAAAGAGAAGCCAGCGCAACGAGAGGCCCGTGCACTGCATCAAAGAAAAGCCCCTGCTCACAGCAACTAGAGAAAGCCTGTGTGCAGCAGTGGAGACAGCACAGCCAAAAATAAATACATAAAATTTGACAAAATAATATACTGTGAACTTGACATTTGCTAAGAGAAAAGATCTTAAGTGTTCTCACCATACCAAAAAAAAGGTGAGGTGATGGATATGTCAATTACATTGATTTTGGAAAGCATTTCACAATTGTTCAGTTGCTCAGTCGTGTCTGACACTTTGCAAGGCAGACTGCAGCACGCCAGGCTTCCCTGTCCTACAGGATCTCAGAGTTTGCTCAAATTCATATCCATTGAGTCAATATACTTCACAATATATACATATATTCAATCATCACATTGCACACTTTCAAAATAAACAATTTTTACTTTTAATTCTACCTTAATAAAGCTGGGGGGGGGGAGTAAAAAATAGCCCAAATAATGTGACAAAAAAAGACAATAATAACGGAACATGGCAGAATTGTTATAGTGGTAAGATCAAGGGCAGAAGAGGACCAGCCAATACAGAGTGGAAGACACTCAGAGTAGGATGAGTGCACCCCAGCCAAGTCTTAGAGGATGAAGAGTGACCCACGGAGAGAAGAGGGAGCATTCCAGGCAAAGACGAACAGTCTGCTAAAGGTGGGGAAGGTTGTGTCCTATGCTGCCTGGAACTACCGCTTTTCTAGAATAGGAAGACTATTAAAGAGCAGATGGACAGCCTCAAAGGGTTTCAGCTCAGTTCAGTTGCTCAGTCGTGTCCGACTCTTTGCGACCCCATGAACCGCAGCACGCCAGGCCTCCCTGTCCATCACCAGCTCCCGGAGTCCACTCAAACCCAAGTCCATTGAGTTGGTGATGCCATCCAACCATCTCATCCTCTGTCACCCCCTTCTCCTCCTGCCCTCAATCTTTCCCGGCATCAGGGTCTTTTCCAATGAGTCAGCTCTTCACATCACATGGCCAAAGTATTGGAGTTTCAGCTTCAGCATCAGTCCTTCCAATGAACACCCAGGACTGATCTCCTTCAGGATGGACTGGTTGGATCTCCTTGCAGTCCAGGGGACTCTCAAGAGTCTTCTCCAACACCACAGTTCAAAACCATCAATTCTTTGGTGCTCAGCTTTCTTTACAGTTCAACTCTCACATCCATACATGACCACTGGAAAAGCCATAGCCTTGACTAGATGGACCTTTGTTGGCAAAGTAATGCCTCTGCTTTTTAATATGCTATCTAGGCTGGTCATAACTTCCCTTCCAAGGAGTAAGCGTCTTTTAATTTCATGGCTGCAATCACCATCCGCAGTGATTTTGGAGCCCAGAAAAATAAAGTGAGCCACTGTTTCCACTGTTTACCCATCTATTTGCCATGAAGTGATGGGAGTGGATGCCATGATCTTAGTTTTCTGAATGTTGAGCTTTAGGCCAACTTTTTCACTCTCCTCTTTCACTTTCATCAAGAGGCAATAAATGCTAGAGTGTGGGGAGAGGGGGAGCCTCCTACACTGTGGGTGGGAACGCAAAATGCTCTGGAAAACAGTACAGAGATTCCTTTAAAAACCAACAGTAGAGCTACTGTATGACCCAGCAACCCCACTCCTGCGCACGTATCCAGAAAACTTAACTGAAAAAGGTACACACACCCCTAAGTTCACAGCGGCTCTCTTCACAGCAGCCAAGACATGGAAATGTCCATCGACAGTTGAATGAACAAAGGATAAATGCACATGTGGTACATGTACACAATGGAATACTACCCAGCCATAAAGAAGAATGAGATAATGCCATCTGTAGAAACACAGATGGACCTAGAGATTATCATACTAAGTGAAGTATGTCAGACACAGAAAGACAAATATATAATATCACATACATGTAGAAAAATTATACAAATGAATTTATTTCTGAAACAGACTCACAGACATAAAAAGCAACCTTACGGTTACCCATCAGGAAAGGTGGAGAGAGGTAAATTAGGAGTTTGGGATTAAAATATACACATTACCATATATAACATAGATAACCAACAAGGACCTACTATATAGCACAGGGAACCATACTCAATATCTTGTAATAGCTTATAATGGAAAAGAATTTACAATGTTGTACTAGTTTCAGATGTATAAGAAAGTGGTTCAGTACCTTTATATATATATATTTATATATAAAAGGGCTTCTCTGGTGGCTCAGTGGGTAAAGAGTCTGCCTGCAATGCAAGAGAACCGTGTTCGATCCCTGGCTTGGGAACATCCCCTGGAGAAGAAAATGGCAACCCACTCCAGTATTCTTGCCTGGAGAATTCCACGGACGGAGGAGCCTGGTGGGCTACAGTCCATGAGGACGCAGAGAGTCAGATGCGACTGAGTGACTCACACACACATATATATAAAAGTATATATGTTATAGTAATATATTTATATACATATTAAAATATATTTACATATAATATGTATGTTTATATATATTCATATATACTTAAAACTGAACCACCTTGCTGTACATTTGAAACTAATACAACATTGTAAATCAACTATATTTCAATAAAATTTGAAAAATATATAAAAAGCAAAATAAGGGTAGAGGGAGATGAGCTGATGAGCCTCGACAGCTTTGGGTAGGGGCAGGGGAGCAGCTTTAGCCTGCAGGAGGTAGGGAATCCGGGTGCAGTTCTGGGGACAGAAGCGCTGGCATCAGGGTGTGTGTCTGAAAGCAAGCTCTTGCACGAAGTGAGTGGGCGGTCCACCAGGGACATGGTTTTGGGCTCTGCCATCTTGGTGCAGAGGGGTCACCATCCCTTACCTAATAGAACCAGGCGTGACGCGCTGTTGTCTGAGTCCTTGCCTCCCATCTGTGAAAGGAGGGGGTTGAGTGATTTCTCGTCAGTCCAACGCTGTGAATGACAGTGGGTTGCCAGCTCTGTGCCCTGAACCAAGCCCTGGAGATGCCTCCTGGGAGATGGAGGTCCACGGGCCTGTGAGGTTTGGTGCAGAGCCGGGCTGAGCCCCGGGATGTGACCACAGGGTCCTGCCCCTGGCAGGAGCCCAGCCAGGCCCGGACCCCCGCCTCTCCCCTCCCTCTGCCTTCCAGGGTCCTCCTCACACCTCGTTGCCTCCTGGGCTCAGGGCCAACAGGGATGCTGGTGGCGTGGCTGCTGAAGGCCTGGGACCGGGCACAGCAGGGTGATGGCAGGTGGAAGGAGACAGACACACATTCTCCCGTGGAATTCACTCCGGTGTGAAGACAAAAGAAGAACGCTGTCGTGGCGGTGGTTCAAATCAACAAGCGGGGTGGAAATAGAGAAGGAGGCGAGGCACCAGCAAGCTCGGGCTATGAAAATACTGCCTCCCTGCCCGGCTGATCAAGTGGGACTTTGGGGCTGCCAAGCGTCCCACGAGTAAACAAATACAAGGTCTCCTCCCCATGTAACAGGATAAGATGGAAAACACACACAGTGATGAAACCCTATTTAAAAGGCGCAAGGCAAAACAAATAAATTAACTGAGTATGTTATGAAACAATTACAGCGGTACCCACTGCCCTGGTCCCAACCCGCCCCCCACCCCACCCCAGCCCAATTCTAACTAGAGGTCCTCTCTCTGGCTGGAAACCCGGGATTTGGGCAAAATTTTAAATGGCTTCAGAGTACAGTGTGTGCCTTTGGACCCGACCCGGCTGGCTTTATTATGTGCTGGGACTCCATCAGCGCGGATGGACATCTGGCGGGCTCCCGAGTCCTCCATCCTGCCTGCTCCCAGATACAGGCTCCGGACGGCTCTGCCTGCGCCTGCCGCGGCCCACCAGCCTGCCTGGGGCCACGTCCTCTGAAAATGGGGGGACTTACGGGACTTGCTGGGTAGGGAGGCTGTGCTCTCCCAGGCTGACCTCTGCCCGGCCTGTTCAAAAACTGCCCCATTTCCCACCTCTTCTCCCTGCCCCCTCAGCCTTCCCCTACCTTTCAAGGAGATTCCCTCAGTTTGTTCTTTAGGGAAGGGAACCCTAATGTCACCGCGCCAGTCCCCAACGCGCTCTGCTCACTTCAAGATGAATGCCACCTCCTCTGGGAAACCCTGGGGCTTCCCAGGCGGCACAGTGGTGAAGAGTCCGCCTGCCCAGTGCAGCAGAAACCATGGGAAACTGGTGGACAGAGAAATGCCCACCCCGCCTCCAAAGATGCCTACATCTTAACCTAGGGAACCTGCGACTATGTTAGTTACGTGTCAAAGGAACGGACTAATGATGGACAGTTCCCATGAAGATGGGATTAAGGATGCTACTCAGTTGACCTTAAAATAGAAAGAGGATCTTGAGTTCAAGTTTGAACTCAGGGTCATCGTGTTGCACCTTTTTTTTCTCGTGCTTTGTCACTGAGTTCTGTCCAACCATTTGCGACCCTGTAGCCTGCCAGGTTCCTCAGCCCATGAAATTTCCCAGGCAAGAATACTGGAGTGGGTTGCCATTTCCTGCTCCAGGGGAATCTTCCCGACCCAGGGATCAAACCCGTCTCTCCTGTTTCTTTTGCATTGGCAGGCAGATTCCTTACCCACTAAACCAGTGGGGAAGCCCAGAGTGTCATCACAGGAGTCCTTAGAATGTGAACAAGGCCAGCAGGAGAGGTGGTCTGGGCAAGACCCAGCCGCTGTTCCGGGCTCTGAAGATGGAGGAAAGGGTCACAAACTGAGAAGCGCGTGTGGCTTCCAGAAGCTGGAAACGGAAATGGACTCTCCCTGGAGTCTCCAGAAGGAACACAGCCCTCCTGACACCTTGATTTTAGCCCGGGAGACTCGTCTCTGAATTTCAACCTCCAGAACCGTAAGAGAAGGCATCTGCGTTGTGAGCCTCCAAGAGCAGTGACTTGTTAATAGAGGCCACAGGAAACTCAGGCAAAATAAAACCTTCCGACCCGCTCCTCCAGGAAGAGGTGGACAGTGCCCCCGCGGGTCCCCAAAATCTAGGGCAGGTTTCTTGATGTTTCTATGTTGACTTGGGACATTCTAAAGACAGCTTTCAAGTCATGTCTGGGTAGAGTGAGATCAGCCCTCACCTCTGCCCTTCTGCCCCTGTTCCGTCCTTGACCCCCACACCCCTCAGGGCTCCTGCTCACAGAGCAGGCTCGGCTCTCTCTGCCATCTGAAACTGATCCTGAAGACAGATATTATGAAGCCCAAAGGCGCCAAAGTGCCAAGCCCTTTCTGCAGGTAGAAAGTCACGCAGACGTGGGCTGGGCTGGGGGTCCTGCAGGGGGCCGCTTGCCCCATAGGGTGAGGAAACAGTTGGGGCCTGAGCATCCTGCTTGGAGCACAGCCCTCTTGTGGCACCTATGTTGCCATCAGGACTTGTGTTTGTCCCAGCGTCTCCCTGAGGACCGAGTGGATGGCTGGTGGAGCCCTGTGTCCCCAGAGCTGAAGCAGGGTCTCTGTGCTGAGTAACGAATGAAGACACGAAGCCATAAAAAAATCAGCAAAACCCAGAAGATGGTTTCAGAAGACATCCTTGCGGTTCACAGCATTGCATTTTCCTTATGGGGGACCACTTCCAAGCTGGCCAGTCTCCCATTCACTGGTGCTCCAAAATGCATCACCATTTCACACTTGCTTCCCCTCTCCCAGGCTGGCTCCTGCACCCCTAGCCGGGCCGGCTGCCCCCTCACCTGCTCCCTGGCACCCCGGGCATGTCCTCAGCACGCTGGCTGCCAGGGCTGTCCACCCCTTGTCCCAGTCTTCCATGTCGCTGAATCCAGCTCTGAAGGAGGAGCCCATGAAGGCTTCCCAAGTGGGGTTCCTGGAGGCAGGGAGAGGTGCAAGGAGCAGGCACTGTGTTGGGCCGACGGGCTCGGGAAATGTGCCGGTCCCGATGTTCCTTTTGCATCCTTGTCCTCATTTCCTCTGCCCTTCCCCCAGACTTTGGTTTTTGCTGCATCAACGAGAAGAGCACGTGCTCTCAGCCTACTTCTCCCGTGGTGCTCCCCACCGTGTCCCGAGACTCCAGGAACGTGGCTCTCCCTGGAGCCTGGTTGGAGCTTGGAAGGGACACCACGTCCCCGGGAGACAGAGGTGGGGAAAGAGAGAGAATGCAGGGGCCCTCGGTGCTGCCCTGTGGAGGGTCCCTGAGCTGCCCTGCCTGCCCACAGGGATGGGCGGCCACTGGGAGGCCGAGGGGATGGAGGTCTAAGTGCGGGTAGGACGTAGACCCCCTCCTCCCGAGTGTCTCACAGGAAGCATCGGAGCCTGCTCTCACACCGTGAGATGAGTCACTCCGCATCCAGGGTGGGCGGGGGCCGAACAGACTCCCGAACTGGCTGGGAAAAGCACCCTGAAGATCCGGTTGCTTGAGATCAAAGTCGGGTCAATAATTACAAGAACGGAAGCATGGTTTGTTCCGGCCCCTTCCCTGGGCCTCACCATCTGCCGCAGACTCACCAGCCGCAGCTCTCAAGCTGGTGGCCACTTCCGGCAGGAGGGAGGAGCCGCAGGGATGAGCCCACTCTGACTGCAAGTCCAGCTTCATGTTAATTCACGCGGAAGCCGCCCACGGCCTCCCTGCCTGACCCCACTCCCCCGGAGGCAATCAGGCTAGATCACTGAGCTCCACACCCAGGCGGCACAGTGCAAATCAGGCAGAAATGCACCCCCACCCCCCAGGCCACCGCTGCCCCCAGCTCCTGAAAAGTCAGACGGGCAAGGCAGGTGAAAGGCAGGATGCGGGGTGTTCCTTCCAAGGAGCCAAGGAACTCTCTGGTCCTGGTGATTCTCAAAGACCAACCAGACTGGGCAGTCAGAAGGACGGACGTGACGCATCTCTAACAAAGGGGTGTGAGCTGTCCGTGAGGACCCAGGACACCTCCTAGGAGGGAAGGCAAGCCAGAGAGATGTGAGAGTGCGTCCTAAACACTGCATGAATAACTGGCGACTTTTATCCAGAAGCTTCTACAGGAAGCCTCACACAGCGGGTCTGATGGTGAAAATGGGGAGAACACTATCACCAACTGCAGGCAAAATAAAACCCAAACCCACATCGCCTTGCTATTTTTTAAAAAAATTATTGAATTATACTTGACCTGCATGCAGTTGTACTAAGTCACTTCAGTCGTGCCTGACTTTTTGCAACCCTATGAACTATAGCCCGCCAGGCTCCTCTGTCCTTGGGATTCTCCAGCAAGAACACTGGAGTGGGTTGCCATGCCCTCCTCCAGGGGATCTTCCAGACCCAGGGATGAAACCTGAGTCTTCTACATCTTCTGTGTTGGTAGGCAGGTTCTTTACCACTTGTGCTACCGTACAATGTTATATTTTGTTTTAGGTAAACAACATAGTAAACAGGTGAACAGCATAATTGATATTTTATCGATTACACTTCACATAGAGTTATTATAAAATATTGGCTATATTCCCTGTGCTGTATAATATATCCTTGTGCCTCCTTTATTTTATGCCAAGTAGTTTGTACCTCTTAATCTTAACATCTTCTTTATCAATTCATCTGTTGATAGACATTTAGCTTGCTTCCATATTCTGGCTCCTGCAAATGATGACCTTATGAACATTGAGGTTTATATATCTTTTCAAATTAGTGCTTATGTTTAGCTCAGATACATCCAGAAGTGGAATCACTGAATCTTATGGTAGTTCTATTTTTAATTTTTTGAGACACCTCCGTACTGTTGACTGCACCAATTCACATTCACACCAACAGCATGCTAGAGTTCCTTATTTTCCACATTCTTGCCAACACTTGGCATTTGTTACCTTTTTGATGATAGTCTTTCTGACACACAGGTGTGATTTCTCAAGTTGGCTTTGACTGGCATTTCCCTGACGACTAATGATGTTGAGAATTTTTTAAGGTGCCCATTGGCCATCTGCATGTCTTCTTTGGAAAATGTCTATTCAGGTTCTCTGCCTATTTTTCAGTTGGGCTGCCTGTGTGTTTGTTGTTTTTGATATCAAGTTTTATGAGCTGTTTGTATATTCTGGAAATTAAGCCCTTGTCAGTGGCATTGTTTGCAAATATTTTCTCCCGGTTTGTAAGTAGTCTTTTCATTTTGTTTATGGTTTCCTTTGCTATACTAATGCTTTTGAGTTTTATTAGGTCCTCTTTGTTTAGTTTTGTTTCTGTTTCCCATGTTTGAGGAGACAGATCAGAAAAAAATAATATTGCTAAGACCTATGTGAAAGAGTGTACTGTCTATGTTTCCTCAAGTAGTTTTGTGGTTTACAGTCTTAGATCTAGGTCTTTAGTCCATTTTGAGTTTATTTTTGTATGTGAGATGAGACAGTGTTCTAATTTTATTCTTGTACATGTAGCTGTCCAGTTTTCCCAGAACCACTTATTGAAGAGGCTGTCTTTTCTCCCACTGTATATTATTGCCTCCTTTGATATAGATTAATTGACCATATGTGCCTTGGTTTATTTAGGGGTTCTCTATTCTGCTGCATTGACCCATGTGTCTACTTTTTTGTTCTAGTACCATATTTTTTTTTTTTTTATTACTGTAGCTTTGCAGTATAGTCTGAAGTCAGGGACCATGATACCTCTGGCTTTGTTCTTTTCTCCCAAGATGGCTTTGGCTATTTGGGGTCTTTCATTTTAGGAATGAAATTTTTTTTGTTTAGGAACAAATTTTGGGAATATTTGTTCTAGTTTTTCAAGAAATGTCTCGGGTATTTTGATAGGGATTGCATTAAACCTATAGATTGTTTTGGATAGCATGAACATTTCAATAATATCAATTTTTTCATTCCATAAACATGGGATATCTTTCCATTTATTTGTATCATCTTATATTTCCTTCTTTAATGTCTTACAGTTTTCAGAGTATAGGTCTTTTATCTCTTTGGTTACATTTATCCCTAGGTATTTTATTCTTCTTGATGCAATTATAAATGGAATTATTTTCTTACTTTCTCTTTTTGATATTTCACTATTAGTATATAGAAAAGCAACAGATTTCTGTATATTAACCTTGTCTCCTAAAGTTTTGCTGATTTCACTTACTAGTTCTAACAGTTTCTTTCGTGGTGACTTTGGGTTTTCTATATATAGTATCATGTCATCTTCAAATAGTGACAGTTTTGCTACTTCTCTTCCAATTTGGATGCCTTCTATCTTGCCTGATGTCTGTGACTAGGATCTCTAATACTATGCTAAATAGAAATGGCAAAAGTGGGCATCTTTGTCTTACTTCTGATCTTGGAGTAAAAACTTTTAGCTTTTCACCATTGAGTATAATGTTAGCTGTAGGTTTGTCATAAGTAGCCTTTATTATGTTGAGATATGTTCCGTCTATAGTAACTTGGTTGAGAGGCTTTTTTTTTATCATGAATGGATATTGAGTTTTGTCAATACCCCCTCTGCATCCATTGAGATAATCTTGTCATTTTTATCCTTCCTTTTTTTAATGTGGTGTATCACATTGGTTGACTTGCATATATTCATCCATCCTTGCATCCCTGGGATAAATCCCACTTGATCAGGGTATATGATCCTTCTTGTAATTGTTGTTGTTTAGTCGCTGAGAGTTGTGTCCAACTCTTTGAGACCCCATGGACTGCAGCACACCAGACATCCTTGTCCCTCACTGTCTTCCAGAGTTTGCCCAAGTCCATTCATGTCCATTGAATCAATGATGTTACCCAACCATCTCATCCTCTGTCACCCTCTTCTCCTTTTGCCTTCAATCTTTCCCAGCATCAGGGTCTTTTCCAATGAATCAGCTGTTTGCATCAGGTGGCCAAAGTATTGGAGCTTCAACTTCAGTATCAGTCCTTCCAATAAGTATTCAGGGTTTATTTCCTTCAGATTGATCCTTCATATGCATGTTGAATTCAGTTTGCTAATATTTTGTTTAGAATTTTTGTATCTATATTTGTCAGAGATATTGGCCTGTAGTTTTATTTCTTTGATAGTGTCTTTATTTGGTTTCTGTATAAGGTAATGCTGGCCTTGTTAAATGAATTTGAGTGTTCCTTCTCTTCAAATTTTTTGGAATGGCTTGAGAAGGATCAGTATTAATATTTTCTTATATGCATGGTAGAATTCCCCTGTGAAACCTTTCAGTCCTGGACTTTAGTTTGTTCAGAGTTTTTCAAATTACTGATTCAATTTCCAAACTAGCAGTCAAATCTGTTCAGGTTATATATTTCTTCTTGATTCAGTCCTAGAAGATTGTGTGGTTCTAAGAATTTATTCATTTCTTTTAGGTTGTCCAATTTATTGGCATAAAGCTGTTTTTAGTATTCTTTTATGATTTTATTTCTGTGACATCAGTTGTAACTTCTCCTCTTTGATCTCTAATTTTGTTTATTTGGATCCTCTCTCCTGTTTTCTTAATGAACCTGGTTAAAGGTTTATCCGTTAATTTTATTTTGTCAAAAAAACACGTCTTGGTCTCATTAATCTTTTCTATTATTTTATCTCTATTTTATCTATTTCCACTGTAATCTTTGTTATTTCCTTCCCTCTGATGACCTTGGGCTTTGTCCTTTTTCTAGTTCCTTTAGATGGTAAATTAGGTCAGTTATTTGAGACTTTTCTTGTTTCTTGAGGTAGGACTGTATCACTAAAAACTTCCCTATTAGAACCACTTTTGCTGCATCCCATAGATTGTGAAAAGTTGTGTTTTTACCTTCATTCACCTCAAGGTATTTTCTGATTTCCTCTTTGACTTCGTCAGTGACCTATTGGTTTTAAATAGCATGTTGTTTAGTCTCCATGTGTTCATACTTTTTCCATTTTTTTTTTCCTGCAGTTGATTTCTAGTTTCATAACATTGTGGTCAGAAAAGGTGCTTGATATCATTTCTTTCTTCTTAAATTTTTTGAGGTTTGTTTTGTGGCCTAGTACTTGCCCTATCCCCAGAGAATATTCCATAAGTACTTGAAAAGAATGTGAATGCTGTAGATATCTATTAAGTCCAATGGGCCTAATGTGTTATTTATGGCCACTGTTTTCTTATTGATTTAATGTCTCCTAATATTATTGTATTACTGTTAGCTTCTCACATTATGTCTGTTCTGTTAATATTTCCTTTATATATTTAGGTGCTCCTATATTAGGTACATATTTGTTTATGAATGTTATATCTTCTTATATTAACACCTTTATCATTGTATAATGCCCTTATTTGCCCTTCATTACAGGCTTTATTTTAAAGCCTACTTTGTTTGATAAGAGTATCATTATCCAGTTTTCTTTTCATTTCTATTTGCAAGGAATATCTTTTTTTCATTTTTCAATTTCTGCATGTGTGTATTTAGTCCTGAAGTGAGTCTCTTACAGGCAGCATATAGATGGGTCCTGTTGTTTTGATCCAATCAGTCACCCTACATCTTTAGATTGGAGCATTTAGTCCATTGACATTTAAAGTGATTATTGATGGGTATGTACTTATTTTCATTTTGTTACTTATTTTCCGGTTGCTTTTGTAGCTCTCTATACTTTTCTTCTTCTTTTAATCTCTTTCCTTGTGGTTTCATGATTTCCTTTAGGGT